GCCGTAGGCCTTCCTAGCAGACAGAGAATGTGCTGTCGCCATCTAGTGAGCCAGTGTGGCATTTTGACTGTGTATCACTGCTGACTGATAATTATTCCTCCACTGTCTCTGAAAGCATGAGCGAATGAAAGGGTTATTTCTGGAAGAGTGTTCACTGGATGAATGGTGAAACATCTTTGAGATTATACCAACTGAGGCTTACTGTCTTACTGCTGCTAGATAACACACATAGCCTATATTAGGGTCAGTTTCCCAGACAGAGATTATAGCTAGTCCTGGACTCCACAGCATTCTGAAAGAAGGTTTTCCTGTCCAGGAAATTGATCATTAAGTTTATATTTTATATTGGTGTGAGTACAAAACCTTGCATCTACAAATCAGACTTTTACAGAAGGCAAAACATTCTTAACTTTTATTGTAAGTCAATGTAACAATTTTATTACGAAGTAAATTTGAATTTATTTTGGTCCATTCATCATGACATATATGGTTTATTATTCTAAGTTTGTTTTTATGTGATTATTAGTAGTAGTAATATTCCAGAACTATAACATGCATGTCCCATATGCTGCCCCATAAGTCCTGATGACATACACCACCTGAATTCATTCTACCAAACTACAGTGGGGCCTTTTGTGATGTAACCTACATGTGTTTCTAATGGTAGAAAGTCGAGTTAACTGTAGTGGTGTTGTTTTAAAGCTGTTTTGCCAGTCATCCAAGGCCTTTTTTTCAGTACTGCTTATCCTCATATCTCTTTCTGAGTCTTTTAAACCCCAGTTGCTTTGATTTACTTCTAGTAGACAGTTCAATAACCCAAATAACCAAAAACCATCACAAATATGCAGGCTACATGTGCTCTCTGCCCATTTAAGTGACATTCTTTTTGGTAAAGAGCCAATTAACTGTAATTACAATGTAATGAATGTGTATGGACAATGTAACAACTCATGAGACAGAGTAACCTGTCTCAAATTACTGTTACATTTGCTTGTAACATTGTTCACCAGGAGGAGTAATTATCAGGAAGCATCTGCAATTCACAGCTTACATGGTAAAACACCCCATAGTGTAATTACAATGTAATTAATGTATTTGAGTACAATTTAAACACATAAAGCAGAGTAACCTCTCTACATACTGTTCCAGCCTAGGAAAAACTGAAAACCTTCACGAACATCCTATTATGTACTTTTTAACTGCAGGTGACACTTTTTAAATAAATTGTAAGTATAATGTAATAAATGTTTCAGGAGAACTATTTATAATATTGTGATATTCTGAATATAATATATAATGTTTCTTTATATCTGTATTAAATGTATCTTTGTATCTGTATTAAATGTATCTAACCACTTAAACGAGAGTAACCTGTCTGTAATCACTGTTATTTACCCTCTCATTTCCAGACACTCTAAGACATAATTTAACTCAAAACAGAGTAACTTGCCTTTAATTATTGTTACACTCTCTTATTCACTTATACTTTCAGTTTGCCTCTGAATTCACAGTAATCCTCTCACTCAGAGAGCAACGAGGCTTATGGGGGTCCCGTAGTCTCCCGGCCACAGATGGCTGTGGCATCGGCGATAGCACCACTTGGGAGCATCCATAATTGAAGTTAACGACAGACAATCTGATGTGAAATATTCATAAATGCACACACACACAAAGATTTTGCATGGAGCTGTATGTTTCTGATGACACTCATGGATTCCTGCTCACTACTTGAGCCTCGCTCATTCTCCCCAGCTGTGGCCTAATCATGCTAATCTCATACTCATCAAAATAACAAACACTTCCTCTCCTCTGTCTGCTCAAACATCTTTATCTCTCTATCTAAATGATATTCTTATAAAAAGATCAGCTGTAATGATTCTGTTTGGTGAATATAGGCCATTTTCTTCACTGGAATCACTGTAAGTCAGCAGCTCTGAATTATTGTGTAGATCTCTACAACAATTACAATAACTAGATAGGGTTAATTACCTACAGCACAGATGCAACAGATGACCGTCATGTTAAATTCACTGAAAGAAAATGGTGAAAAATATTGTAAACCTTGTCTGTTTTAGCCCAAATGTGAAAAATGGTGTAATAATTATACATAATTGCATAATTAAGGATTTATTTTTAGTTTAAATGTTTATCATTTTATATAAAGTGTCCTGTGTTAGCATCAGTATCTGTCGTGTGACCATTTTCCTGACTTCATGTATGTAACTATTGACACAATTCTTAAAAATGAAAAGAAAAACAAAGCAGCCAGGAATCATAAGTGGCCCTCCAGTAAAACAGTTGTCTAATTAAACCTGTACTGTGTGAATCCAGCTACTTTAAGATGCACTCATTACTGACACTGGCATTCAACTGCACTCACACACAGCTTGTGTAATCTCCATAGAAAAACACTGGCAATTGAATGAGACGCTCTAGAGCAGCTGCACATGAGCCTAAGGCCAACATTCCCAATACCAAACACTGGCTAGAAGGGCCACCCCCACTCAGTATTGGGCTGTAGAGCAGTGGAACTGCGTTCTCTGGAGTGATGGAGCTCCATCCAATAGGTTTGGGATAAGCTAGAGTGACGTTTGTGATCCAGATCCAGAATCCAACATTAGTACCTGACCTCACTAATGCTGTTGTGACTGAATGCAATCAAATCCTCACAGCAGTGTTCCAACATCTAGAGCATTCAGCATCATCTGGATGAGCAGGTGTGTACAAATGTTTGGACATGTATTATCCATTCATAGGATTTTACTTACCTTTGGGTTTATATTTATGTTTTTGTTTGTATACTGATATTTTTCAGTGAATGAACTGAGCACCACCAACATTGACACCTACCACTATTTCAGCCAGGTGGCAGCATTAGCTCTAGATCCTCTGTGAAACATGCCCCTGTGGTTGACAACGTCACATCACACACCATTAGAGAAAGTGATAGTGCCAAGTTAAGTCTGGATTTCTTGTAAAATGGGTCAACATTTGCTCTTACTTGAAAGGAACTGATTCCATGTCAGTTGTTAGTGGTCTGGGGTCAAGCTGAAGTTTGCTTTGCTGGGTTTACTCTGCAGCCAGTTCAGAAGTTAGATTCCTCACAGATCACAGGCTGTTTGACACACAGATCGCCTTTATTTCTGTAATGCAACTGGTATAGAGTGCAGCTGAACTGTGACCTTTAGCAGAGGAACGAGTGACTGGCTACTGGCAGGATGAAGCAGAGGATCGTGGGTGGACAGATTAAAGAACAGATTTGTGTGTTTAACTCATCAGAAGGCAAGAGAGTGTATCTGAATGCCTACTCTCCTCTCTTACATGTGTGTGTTTGTTTGTGTATATATATATATATATATATATATATATATATATATATATATATATATATAGGCAGCTTTAAAGGGGAAGGCAAAAATGTGCTACATGTTCATTGTAAGTTAATGTGAAAACATTTTATTCCAAGCAATTTTGGAGCATTTTTATTAGTCAATTCACCATTTTCACTCATTGTAAAGGGCAGCAGTTGTGCTCAAATGAGATTAAAATATGAATTGAAAAAATGTAGATACTTCTTTTTTTTGGACACCCGTGATACACAAACAGTACATCCATGTATGTGTGTGTGTGTGTGTGTGTTTCCTCGATGATGGCCATGTCCCTTGACACAATTTATACTGCTTCGCTACCAGTGCTTAAGTTTTAACTACTTAATATTTCACCAGTTTACATTCTCTTTTAAAGCAGCTTAAAACAAGCTCACATATGTAGGCTAATGAAATACCCACAGACAATAAACAGTGCTGTGTGGACAAAACACACACACACACATTCCTAACACATGCTGTTAAAGACCTTATAATGCCACTCATGACTCCAGGAGACCAGAGAGTCACAAAGAGAATGTGCCCTTACCCACACAAACTCTTAGAGTTAATATTATATTAGTAGCCTTTGGCAGACCTAAAGGAAGCTGTCCATCAGCAACACACAATCAGAACAAACAGACTCCGCTGAATATATTAAATACTGGTGAAATGTGACATCTCTAAAGATGGTGATGGCTGCTTCATTGTCTCTGTGGTATGCTATCCATGTGTGTGTATGAGAGAGAGAAAGAGACAGGGCATGTACCATGAAAACTGTGTTAAAGCATGTATGTCTGGGTTCACTGGACTGTAAAATCCAGACACTGTATTAAATAATTCACATTCAGATCTTGCTGGCTGGTGGAAAATAGTTAGAAGGGTCGTCCTGGATTGCAGCTTTCAGAAATGGTCCCATTCACACAAATCTGAAACTAATTTAAGTTACCTCTGTGCTGAATCTTGAAGGCAGTTTAGGCCTAATAAAGCGCTTAAGGTCTGTGCAGCAGCCACAGCTCTTTAACTCGCCTCAGACAGTAATTAAAAGTAGTGCATGACACAGTAAAGTTACTGCTTCATTTAAACTTCAGTCCACTTTAAACTGCTCTTTCCTGTAGGTGCCTCACACCCTCACACAAACCTGTATAGCGAGTCGGGTCTAGGGTGCTGGAGCTGAAAAGGCTTCTTAACTCGTCTGCAGTTGAAGAAGCAGTAAAAAGACTAAATGGATTATAAAAGTAAAAGGAATGATTCTTTTGTTTTAGAATGAAACAGCCAAAATGTAACTTGACACACCTACAAATTCTAAGTTTAAGTCTGTTCACTTGTTTGAACAAGCCTGCGAGCACTGTCTGCTGTGAGATTTGTTGGCTGGGGAGAGGGAGAGAGAGAGAGAGAGAGAGAGAGTATAAGGATAAGGGAGTGAGAGCAGAGGTGATACAGAGAGAGGAGAGAGAAGGAGAGGCAGAAAGAGATAGAAAGACAGAGAAGGTAAAAGAGTGAGAGAGGCAGTAAGAGTGTGTGGATGTTGGGGGGTGAAACAGCCAGAGTGGTTGTTAGAGAGAGAGAGAGAGAGAGAGAGAGAGAGAGAGAGAGAGAGCTAAGTTGGAGTTATTTTGTGCTATAGATGAAGGGTGAGAGTGCGAGACAGGATGAGAGAGAGGAAGTGTTAAAGAAAAAGAGTTAAAGAAAGTGTTAAGAGTTTGGGTGCTGTAGAGAGAAGTGTGTGTGTGTGTGTGAGAGAGAGAGAGAGAGAGAGAGAGAGAGAGAGGCTGTTAGAGTGTGTATTGGGCTGTTGGGGGGGGGTGAAAGAGTGAGTGAGAGAGGCTGTTGGAAAGAGAGTCAGTCTGAGTGAGTGCGATAGAGAGGGGAGGGGGAAGTTTTACAGTGAGAGCTTGCATAGGAAGAGAGGAGGGGAAAAGGAAGGACAAAAACGACTGGGGAGAAGAAAAGAGGGAGCATAGTGGCCTGTTTGTTTTCTCTTTATGTCGCTTTGAATAGCGGTTACAAGAGGACTTTCTACCATAGAGCACTTTGATTTGAATATTTCACGGAGCGGTTCTGCGAGCGCTTTGCATGCTGTTTCAGTTTGAGCAGAGACAGACAGACGGAGCTCAGAGCTGAGCTTTACAGAGAGCAGCACACACTACTCACTCACACGGACACGTGTTGAGCGCTTTGTGCCTACTTCACTCTATTCTACCAGCAGCGGCGGTGATACCCAACTAAACGGCCTCCGTAAGTTACTTATACAGTGTTTCTGAATCCAGGGTGCCGCTAGATGCAGAGCTGTTTGGTCAGACGGAGACATTAGACACTAGCTAACAGATCTTCAGGTGGTGTTTTTAAATCACGTAGCACTGAGGAGCTCATCAAACACGGCGAGGAAAACCCAGCAGACGAGTTCAAACCTTTTCTCTGTGGACTATGGCGGCGGTAACTAGTCCAGAATCGAGCACCCAGCCTCGGGTTTACTTCCAAACACCTCCCGGTACCGAAGAAACCGAGACGCCGGTTAGAAAACAAGGACGAGTGACGGTTAAATACGACCGAAAGGAGCTGAGAAAGAGACTCAATCTGGAGGAGTGGATCATAGACCAGCTAACGGAGCTGTACGACTGCGAGGTAAGATCAGCCTAACCTGACTTTAGTGATCCATAACCGTCGTAAAGGTGGGCATAATGACGATGTTATGTCGTCATTGCGATAAGTTACGTCACGATATGTTTGTTGTTTATATCGTCATTTACTTCTAGAGCACAGAACAAATGCATATATTATTTGTTATTCATCCTTCATAGGCCAGTGCAGTAGGGAAACACTTTAGATAAAATTGGGCTCATAATGATTGATAGTCCTTGTTTTAAAACCTAAGAAAATAAAAAAAATCGTGTATCGGGAAAATGTTTTTAAGTATCTGGATATGTGTGTCTCTACTGGTGATTTTCATTGATAGTGGACAGGCAATGTGTGCTTTAGGTTGGTTGTCTAAATATTGAATTTTAAAGTGCAGGTAACATCTGCGCGTTCAGAATTGTTAGCCTGGTCATCGGATTTGCACATAACGCCATTACCTTACACAAGCTACTGTGTGGACATGTGTGAGTGTGTTTAAGCGAGCAATCTGGCGTTGACCCACATTCAATGAGGGACTTAAAGCCTTCTAGGACTACAGGCGAAAGAGAAAAAAGAGAAGCTGCTCTGGTTGCTCTTTAACTATTTACCTGATTAACCTTTCACCTCAGTCAATGTAGACCTGACATATCTGACTTTCAGTGTAGGAGTAACTTGTAGGTTGGGGGAAAAACTGCCCGAGCTACTACACTGACTTGTGGTTCACATGGTTTTTGGTCAGTATTAGATAGTGTTAGATTGTGGACCTGTTGTGCTTATCAGACACCCTCAAGCACTCAGGGAAGTGGGAAAAATTGCCTATTCATGTGGCTTCCTCAGCTAGCAGGCACTTCACTGATAGTGTAGCAGAGGTGAACGGGATCAGAGACAAACTTAACCAGTCTGGCTGCTCTTTGGAAAGATCTGAACATGTGGCCTGGCGTTAGTTCTCTTCCCTTCCTCCCGCTTTCCATCTCTCCTAATTTAACTGCTGCCCTTCCCCCCAGTCCCCCATTGCTACCAGCACGGAAATGACTCTTCTTCCTAACGTTTTCCACTAAGGATTCACTCTTCAGAATACTATAGACTCATCGTGTTCAGCACTAGGAATGGGTGGAATGATATTAATGTGACTTAATGTGCTTAATGTCACAAATGTAATGTGACTGTCAAAAGTATTGTAGGAGATAAATGTGACAGGAACTATTTTTTCTTCCACCCTTTCACTCTGCTTCTCATACATACACACACAGGCCCGAGTGGCCACGTGAAATGGAATAAATGCTCTATTATGGCTGGTATTATTTTACTCTTCTAATCTTTAACTATATGTAGCAGTTTATTTAATGCTAATGCAAAGCTTTCAGATAATTTTGATGTCCACATTAACTGACTTCTACTGTATACAAAAAGTAAATTATCTTTTTATGTGCACAAAAAGACTTTTAAAGTATCAGTACTGGTTTTGGTATCTACATATTAGCCTTGGGATTGCTTGGTATCAAATCTAACAGAAAATGGTCCATCTTTACTCAGCACAACCACAGCGTGGTTCGGCACTGTGGTGACGGTTGTAAATCTGTTAACATAAACCAATAAACCATTCAAATTTGTAGCATGCAGCACTGTTTGGCCAAGATGCAGGCGGAGCAAAAAATGGTCTGAGTTAACTGTTTCGTCCCTCAGGCATTCTCCTGCGCTGAGACAGGAAGAGTAATGTAAAAGTAGTGAATTTTAATTCAACAACAAATAGACATATAGATCAAGATAAATAGAAATAGGCAGATAGAACTGGCATGTGACGTGTGGCTGAGTTTTATCACATGCTTGATGGTAGACCAGATTTTCCTCTGTACACAGCACAGCAGTGTGAAGTCTACATTAATTTATGGAGGAAAAGTTATGATTCTTTTATGTTGTAAATGGATAGGTATTGAGAAATGTTACTGTGACTGTTATAATTATATATACATTATATTGTATTATATAGGTCAGGCATGTCAAAGGCATGTTCCTTCTGGCCCACAACTCTAAACTCTAAACTACTTCTAACCCTCCGAATTCAACTCATGAAGGATTTGCTAATTAGTTGTTAAGTTACATCAGGTTTGTTTAAAGAGGGAAAACATTGAAGTCTGCAGTGCTGTGGCCCATGATGATGGTTTTACTGTAATTGGTAAGGTTAAAGATTCTGGAATGATGATGATGATAATGATAGATGCCACAAAATTTTGAGTTGATTTATACTTACTGAACAGTTAACAAAGTGGTGATCTGTGTTACATTCTTCAAACATATTATTTAAGGCTCAATAAATTTAGAATTTGTCATCAGCCAGATTAACTTACTTACTATAAAGCAGACCACACTGGTCATGAATTACTGACATCTATGCCCAGACAGTGCCTATGCCCAGGCACTATGTGTATAAAAGGGAACAACCATGGTCCAGTCATGCAGAGAGGGAAACGTGATAGGGCAGTGATATAAAGATAACACAAGGAGGAAGAAACATGGAAGACAGGAGGACAACTCTGAAGGTGTGTAAACACATGGTTGAGTTTGCTTTGATACATGGTTGACAGTAGAATAGATTTCCCTCTGTACACAGTTGTTCAAGCATTGGTTTTATTTGCTTAAGAAAGCAAAGCAAATGTGGATGGAAAACCAGAGGCGTTGGAGATAGGAGGACAGAGAGAAAGGACAGGGAGAAATAAACAGATCATTACTGAGAGTCTAACAGCCAGAGAGAGAGAGATGGAAAAAGACAGCTGTGGTTTCACCCTTTGGCCAACAGCATAAGGACTACACTTCATGTTTTATTGTTTTTCCCGGGGAGCACACACACAGACCCCCCCCCACACACACACACACTCACACACTTTGACACTTTGGTTAAAGCTTGTCATGAACCATGTAGGGGTGAAAAAACTATCAGTGCATCACATCCCAGCTCTATCAGTTTTGATGCAGTTGGTGATTTGGCAATTCAACTGTATCAATTTTTGAATGAAATCAGTCATAATAAAAATCAAGTATGCACTCATTTTTTGGCCAAAATAAAATTCTTGGGCTTTGGACCTGTCTAACAAAACAGCTAATTTTAATCCTAGTTCAATCTAACCCTTGATTTTATGTCTCACAATATGATGACAATAATAGATAATTCATTTACATCCTCGGAAGACATGTCCGTCACCAAGTTTTGACAGAGTGCCCTTTGAATACTCTTTCAGCTCTTTCATCTTCAGATTCATCTGCCTGGGGAAGGGCAACCAATGCTACGTAAGATTCTTTGGCACATTATGTGCAATTACATGTTTCCATTAGAGAGGTCTCCAGGACTTACTTAATGTAGCTTTAATTTTGGGGCTATAGATCGTAAACAGTCCTTTTTTTGCAAATTACTGCAAATCAGCTATTAGTTTGTTTTATAGTACACATAAAATCAAGACAAAAAAATAAGAAGGGCACAACCAGCTACCTCTTTGTGATGTTTGTGGCCAATCCCACCAACATCCACACACAAATAAAGAGTTGTTTGCCCTGAAGACCGGAGTGATGTGCAATGTGATGTTTAATTGTTTGCATTCAGTGATTTCTGACCTCAGAAGGGTAGTTGGGTTCATCCAGCTCTTGCTCCCCTCCAGACTGAGTTCAGCATGAGTCAGCAAATTCCTGCCATAGTGACCCAAAGAAGAGGGAGAAGGAAAAGAGCGAGCAGCAGAGAGAGAGAGAGAGAGAGCGAGGGGGAGAGAGAGAGAGAGAGAGAGAGAGAGAGAGAGTGAGCGAGAGAGAGAGAGAGAGAGAGAGGCTGCCAGAACCACACATGCTTGGTTCTCTGTCCATCAAGTTAACGTGGTGTAGGTGTATGTAAGAAAGGAAGTGCCCAGGTCTGTGCACAGACATTTTTGGGGGGCAGGGGCTCAAGGGGAAAAAAGACAACATGAACATGAATTAAACTTAATTGAATTTACTGTGTATTGCAGTCACTGTTATCAAGAGAGAGAGTGCAATCATGTTTCAGATAAAACCAAACAGTGTGTCAGGAGGTTTCTGAAGGCAGCCAGAAGCTCTAATGTTACTGTGCACAGATATGAACCCCAGTCGTCAGCGTACAAATCTGTGGCATTATTCACTACGCTGTTTAATCACTATGTAGCATTTAGTTATAACTCCAGTTAAGAGCTCCACAGAGTCTTGTATGAATCCTTGTTTTTTAGAATTATGAAAAAATGGTGTAAGCAGTTAACACTCCTTATTGCCAACATTGTTGCTCAAAATAATCACATTGAAATGTGATGCTTTCTTAAAGAGATTATCACCGAATAATGGTTGGATTTCCAGCACTGTGGTGATGAGTGATAGGTCGGCGTTACTGAGGAGAACCACAGGTGTTTGGTTCTGCACCAGAGAGCAGATGAATCTCGTAGAACCCTCGTTGACCCACAAGCTCTATTCCTTGTGCAAGCCTAACACCCATTTCACTGAAGCGGATCTTGAAAAATGACAGAGGCAATATAAAATACAGTTATTATACACACCAACCATTAGGGCACTTATACAGGTTAAAGGGGCAGGGGTTTAAACCTCGCCCTGGAGTCTATGTGCCTGGAAATTATCACACATATAAAATTTGACATTAAAATATTCATCAAATATGATTAAAAGAAAAACAAAGGGCACAACTGAATGTAAAAAATTACCATACCAATGTTTAAAGCTACCTCTGCTGTGGCTCCTAAGTTTAGGCTAATTAGTAACATTATCACACACAACGGCTTCCAATCAGAGGGAAGAACCTGCCACTGCTGACCATAAACATACAAATCAATGATTTATTTTTGTCTTTAATTAGAGCTTTAAATTGTATGGGGATATTTGAAATCGTCATTCAGCTTTTTAGCAACTCAGTCGTTCTGAACAAAGCGGTGTGTTTACCTTATTAAATTAATATCGCTAAAAGGCAGAAATATGTTTTCATCTGCACTAAACGGCAGACTTTAGCCACA